GGGTTGTCAGAAAAGTCATGACGTATTCTGTTTTTTGCTGCAAAAATGCATCATGACTTTTCCGACAACCCAGTATGTCTGAGGTCTCCAAAGCTGCTTTGGTTCCGATTTCTCTTGAGACTTGCTAAACTTTTTTGGGCTTTGTTGTTTTCCCTTGGATTAAAAATGAAATTAAATGATGATAGGTGGAGCACAAGAGGAATTTTAGGGCTGTGAAATTACTCTGTATGGTACTATTTATAATGGTCAACACATGTCATTGTCCATTTGTCCAAACCCTTAGAATATACACCACCAAGAGTGAACTATAATGTAAACTATGCACTTTGGGTGATAATGATGTGTCAGTCAATGTGGAGGTTCATCAGCTGTAACAAATGTACCACTCTGGTGGGAACGTTGGTAATGGGGGCAGCTGTGCCTTGGGGGGCAGGAGTATATGGGAAATCTCTAACTTCCTCTCAATTTTGCTGTGAACCTAAAACTACTCTAAAAAAATGAAGTCTTAAAAAAAATGAAACTGAACAAATTTGTTGGTAACTTACAAAAATAATTTCCTTAGTGCAAATCTTAGAAACTTTTCCCAAAAACTTGTTTCCAAGTAACCTGTTGGTGGAAAGTGGCATCCGGCATTGAGGTTGAATTTTAATACTGCAATCAACTTGTTGCCAGTAGGTGGAAATGTAAGAGTTCGAGAGGAGAGAGCCATTTACCACACATTTTCAAGGGAGATTTTGAATATGGCAAGTCTTTTAAATTTTATCCACTGAAATATGCTTATATTAGTTCACTGATTCTCAGTGGATCTCAAGAAGAGCAGTCCCAGCCCCCAGAGTGCACTTGGGAAAATCGTGAGGGTGTTTTGACTGCCACAATGGATAGGATGCTGCTGACTAGATGTCCTGCAATGTCTGAGACAGTCGAAGATGTGTTCTGCATCCCCCCTGACTTTTCGTATATTCCACCAGGCTAACCCCTCTACAAATAGAAATTGATAGTTTTGTAGCACATAGTAATACTGAAAAATATTCTTGAGAAATTAGACAAAAAGCTTATTAAGTTAGAAGATGGTTGTTGTCTTAGTTTTCTATTGCTGTGTAACAAAATAACAGCACTCATTTATTATGAGCTCGTGGTTCCGTAAGTCAGAAGCTGAACTTGGCTGGGTTCTCTGCTTAGGGTGTTGCAAGACTGAAATCAGGGTGTCAACCAGGCTGACTGTAGGGGCCTTGGAGAAGAATCTGATTCTAAGCTCGTTTAGCTTGTTGGCAGAATCCTGTTCCTCATGGTTGTAAATCTAAGGTCCCTCATTTCCTTGCTGGCTGTCTTGCTAGTGTCACTCCTGGCTCCTGGAGGCTGCTCTTTGCATATGGCCCCTATCATCTTCAAAGCCAACAATGGGCTTGTAGAATCCTTTCTGTTCTTTGAATATCTCTAACTTCCCCTTCTTCCACCAGCGAAGAAAACTCTGCTTTTAAAGGGATCACCTGGTTAGCTCAGGACTACCCGTATAATCTCCATACCTTAAAATCAATTAACTTGGGACTTCAATTATATTTGCAAAACCCCTATACTGCAGTACCTAGATTAGTGTTTTATTGGATAGCCAAGGAACAGAAATCTTGGGGAATTATCTTTAGAATCTGCCTACCACAGTTGATATGAAGAGGGAACTTAAGTGAAATAAAGATATCATCTCAAAATAATTGACTAATATGTTTGCTTGGTACATTTTGTTCTGTAAGTATTACAGCATTTCCAGCTTGCATATTTAGTTGAAAAGGATTTCAGTGCAATAGTGTTGTTACTGCAAAAGCAATGAAACACTGAAAATATGTAACAGGAGATTTGAGATTCCTGTTCAAACTTCAATTAAATTGGTGTAGACATGGCTGTAACTGGATTTCTTTAATATGGGCTATTTTAATAATATTTCATGTTATTGCCTTTGGGAGAGATCACTAGCTTTTCAATTTTATTCTAAAGCTATCCTGAATCTATTACTCAACTGCTTTATTACCTCTTGCATTACTTGGTTTTGTTTTTTTTCCCTAATCCATCTTCTATTCCTTATCACACTATTCAAAGAAAATGGTCTCCAAGGTCTTTTCACAGACCAGACACTGATTGTATGTCTCAGTGGGATTTCAAGGCAAAAGGATAGGTTTTCTGTGGTAGTTTCTTCCCCTATTCCATGGCATAACCTAGGGGATTATTTTGATACTACACTTACAAATGAATAAGACCTAACTCATTTGCAGTAATATTGTGCTTCCTCATTTCCTCTACTTTGGTATTTACCTTGGCACATTACTCTAACTAACTTCGCTTAAGAGCACCCCTATTCACTTGAAACCTACGTAACTTTACTAATGATTGTCACCCCAATAAACTTTAATTAAAAAAAGATTACCCTTATATCTGTTATTATCTTAATACTATTTTTTATAGTAGTGCTATTCTGTACCTCTGTTCTTTTATTTTCCTGTGCTTGTGCCAAGTGGGCCTTGATATTCTTCTTTTGTAATTCAAACTTATTTATTATAAGTTGGTTCATATATCTGATTGCTTCATATGTCATATGTCCCCAAACATTAACTGAAATACATATTTTCTAATAAATTACTTCCTGTTTTATTTCTTTGCACATCAGTTAGGACATTGTATTTTTCTGAAAATTTTGTGTAGGTGGGTTATATCATCTATGAATTTAATTTCAGAATAGTAAAGGAGGCATTATAAAATATATGTGATCAAAAAGGGGCTATTGGGTTTAATAGGACTAAGACCTACTATTCCATCATGCCAAGAAAACATGATAGCCCTTAAGTGCTGTATGTATCCTTTCCTGCAATGCCCAAGTGTGAGTCAGCATCTGGGATGTCTTGCCACATACACGGATAGAAAAGGTTTCTCGCTGAGCACTGTCATCTGCTTGCCTCAGAGCGTGTTCTTCATTCATGTCTTCTGTTCTTCATTTTAATCTACATGTATCTTTTTGTTTTATTTAACTTTTCAGTAAGAGATTCAGCTTGTCTTACAATATTCATTTCAGATTCTTAGCAGTGTCGTTTTTTTAAAAAAGTTTATCAGATTTGCAGTATATTTTTTTCTTTTATCAGTTATCAACAGATTTGTGCAGCTTGATTTTTTAATCCCCCAAAAAACAACTTAGTGAAATATTGTAGTTCTCCCTTCTCCACAGGCGATTATCCCCATTAGATCCCTAGTAGATGCCTAAAACTGCAAATAGTACGGAACCCCAGATATACTCTATTTTTTCCTATACATACACACCTTTTCACTTAAAATAAGCACTTTACAGCTTCTCTTTGGCATATTCAAATTGCCAGCATCACTACTCTTGCACTTTGGGGCCATTATTAAATAAGAGTTATTTGAACACAAGCACTGTGATACCACAACAGTTGATCTGATAACTGAGAGGGACCACTAAGTAAGTGACTAAGGGTTGAGAAGAGTATACAGTGTAGAGACGCTGGACAAAGGGATGATTCACGTCCTGGGCAGAACAGAGTGAGACAGTGAGAGATTTCATAATGCTGCTCAGAATGGTGCACAATTTAAGACTTATGAATTGTTTATTTCTGGAATTTTCCATTTAATATTTTCAGACTGCAGTTGACCATAGGTAACTGAAACCACAGATAAGGGGGACTACTGTAATAGTTTTTGAGCAGTCTTATCAAGCATGTTTTAGATAAGCTAAGTCTTGTCAAATTATGGCCTCTGTAGATATCTTATAAAACTAAAGTACAATGAAATACTGTGATAGAAAAATCAGTAAAGTAGAAGTAAAACCTAGGTTCTTAATCCTGGAGACATCACTTACTACCTTGGGCAAACTGTGCAGCTTCTCTGAGCCTTGGTTTTCTCATCTGCATTTAGAGATACCTGTCCTGCCTGTCTATCAGGGTAATTACAGGGTAATATGTTGTTAGGATCAAACAACATAATGACTGCTAGGGAAATGTAAATTCTGAAATGCACTACTATAGCTGTTAGGTCTTGTCATTGAAAAAAGCTATGGTCATTAAATCAATCTTATAGATGGCTTCAGATTATTTCTTCACCATCACCAACCATCAGAGTTAAAGCAATGCCATATACAGGATGAATTGGAAGGGGATTTAGAAGAACCTAATTGGCCATCGAGATGAAGCCTCACCCCAGGCACTGAAATTAAAACAAAAAACAGGGAAGACAGATGCCAGAAGTAAATTAAAAAAAAAACACACAAAAACCAGGGAAGACAGATGCCAGAGGTATTGGCAAGACTGGGAAACCAGATGGATTTGGGGGCGATGGGAAGGAAAGAATGATTGAACCTTAGAGACTAGAAGGTTGGTGATCAAGAGGCATAGCAGGTATGAAGGAAGGAAAGGCTGTGCTCACCATTGAAGCATGCCATGTTTGAACTGCTGCTGCTACATTAGCTGGAGATTTCCAAAGACAATTTGAAACATGGGCCTGGAGCTCAAAGAAATCTAGGTTTAAAGATTGGAGCAGGAACAGCCTGTAATGAGATCATGGAATGAAACAAGATAGGAACCAAGGGTGGAGCTTTGTAGAATGAATGCATTGAAGGGCCTGCCGAGCAAAAGGAGCCAACAAAAGCTCTTCTGGCCCCATGTTCCATAGTCTGTGACTGTTCTGTAGAATATGGGACATGGGAGATACATACTTACTGACTGCTCTTATGAGTTTATATATTATAAAAGAGGTCCTTGACATGTGATAGAGTAGTGGGTGAGATTTACTCCTTAGGAACTCTTCCACAGATAAACTAAAAACTGAACGAGAATTTACATTTTTCAAAATAGTCCATAGCGAAGTTTAAAAATGGAGTATTTGTTTTCCAAATTCAATACTATTCGCAGACAATGCTCTATTCTTACTGAAAGGCTAATTTATCTGAAATAAAGCCATAATATTATTGATCGTTATTTACTAATTATCTTTTTTCCTTTTCTCTCTAGATTTTACATTGTGCAATAGGTAAGTATAGAATTATCCCCTTTACTATGTACAGTGGATTCTGCTTTTTTTAAAGTTATTAATGATAGGTTGATTTCATTCTTACTGAATATTGAAAAGAACTAAACTAATCATTATATATAAAATTGCTTAAATTGGTATGGTTTTTGGTTTCTAAAATCACAAGTGCTATGTAGATGTTACCACTGAACATTTTATTAACTGCCACAGCTACTTTATCAATTTGAAGAAGACTCTCCCACCTTCTTGTTGCAAGGGTAACAGAGAAACTAGCATATTTATAAAAATGTGACTTGAGTCCTGGTGCTGTAGAAGGCCCTCTCTGTGATCATTTAAATGTTACATTCTCTTTTCTTACCTTTAAAATGGGAGTATTGCATATATTGCCTGCGTCTTGGATGAACATTTAATGTATGTGAGAGGGATTGGAAATGTGTAAGTATAAAGGATTATACAAATGTCAGAGATTTCTGCTAAAAACAGATACAGTGTGTTTTATTTGGGGGGAAGGGAAAGGTTATCAAATTTTGCTCTGGAACTGAGGCATAGCTTCTAGGCTGTGGTGGCTAAACACTCTAATTAAATAGAAATCAATTTTGGAAAGTTGACAGACCCTATAGAGTAAGCCCATAGTAGTTGCTCAGCATCCAGACTTGTGTCTCACAGGGAGGATTTGAAATTGGTACTCATTCAGAAGCACTGAAGGTGCATCCATACCATTATGGCCCTGATCAGCTTAATTATGCATCCAAACCATTATGGCTGTGATCAACTTAATTCACAAATTAAGTGGTTTCTTAATATAGTCAGGGCAACACACTTGGCACTGGGGAATTCAGAGATGAGGAAACCTACAGTTCAGGTGGGCACATAGCACACTGTCTGCCAAAGGTCTTGCAGGGTCACCCTGGTACCTGGCCCCATCACTCTTAAGGAAGACAAAGCATCTTCATTATAAAGAGTTGCACCTTGGCTGTTTCCCACTAGGAAGAAGGTCGACAGTCAGGGATGTCTCAAATAATTTGCAGAATTTCATATGCATGTTTCTGTTTATTTTGGGGCTGGGTAGATAGAATTCAGAGCTTTCATTAGATCCTCAGAGGAGGGTGTGACCCCAGAAGGGATCCTTTGAAAAATAGATTTGAAAGGGACTTGGGAACTCATCTTGGAGTCTGCTTTCCCAGAAAAGGTTAAGGGACCTGGTGTTGGTCACACAGCCAGTACATGGTGAAACCTTGCCTGGAACCAGACCACTCTGGGCCAGAACCTGCCTGACTGATTTGATTTTATGGTGAATGGGTTTTAGCTGATATATCATCTCACACACATTTCCTTTTTAATCCTTTTTCTACAATATGGAGAAGAAAATATTTGCCCCTTAAATGTTAACCATGAATTTTAAGCATAAGCTTGCAGACTGGGAGGAGATCTATTCGCCCAGAGTTCTGGGACCATTTTAGGCCTTCTCCGCATATTGAACCCTGTGCCCCGATTCTTTCTAGCTCTCTTAACCTTCAGCTGCCTACAAAGCTCTTTGATGCATATGTTTTCTAAGCATGTGTACTATCATTTTAATTAATATTTCATTGTATTATAATACCCCAATTCACTGTATTTTTCTTAGAATATATTCTCATACCTCTTTATAGAATTTCTACCCCTGCAAATAAGTTTCTGACAAGAGTATTCATTCATCCCAAGAACATTATTGAATGCCTACATTATTGAATGCCTAGCAGGCGGTTCCCAGACACTGTTGGGCAGTGGGAGTAGAGAGGTGAGCCGGCACGGGTTTGGGTTCAGGAACCCTGCAGTCAACCCCTCTGAGCTCCTTTGGTGGAAAGCATTCCGTGGACTAGCATCCATGTCGCACTCTGCTCCCATGGTTTGTTGACAGGTGGCCCCTAGTGCACAGCAGATACTTAAAAATTCCTGGGGGCCGGCCAAGTGGCTCAGTTGGTTAAGAGCTCGCTCAAGAGTGTGAGCTCTGAGCAACAGGGTTGCCAGTTCGATTCCCAGCCTGAGCTGAGCTGTCAACAGGTGGCAGGATGGCTCAGCTAAAAAAAAAAAAAAAAAAGAAAAAAAGATTCCTTCTTATTTCCTTAAGAACCTTGTCCTGTCGGTGATTCTTCCACATCGTCACCCTTTGTCATCTGCCTTTCCCTTCTCAGCTCACAAAATGCTCAGAGTGCTCCATCCTAAAAATAATTTTTAACCTAACCTTTGACCCTACATTCCTCCTTTCAAGTACATAATTCCTCTTCGTCCCTTTTATGAAGTTTATGCTAGACTTTCTACTTCTTCACGCCCATTTATACCTTAACCCAGGTGTCGGCAACTTTTGAGACGGAAGAACTGGCAGGGGTCAGCAACTGAGGCTTGCAAGCATGTGGCTCTGAAGTAAAATTGAAAATGAAAATAAAACTATCATAGTTTCATTTATAAAATTTTTAAAGGATATTATTCACATAATGGTGATTATGTAAAAATATATTCATGGCTCTCGAATAATTTTTAAATTGTCGTGAGGGACAGGATTGGCTCTTCCAGGGGTCGGCAAACTTTTGAGACGGAACGTAACCCAAGAGCCGCATGTGGCTCACGAGCCGCAGTTTGCTGACCCCTGCCTTAACCCAGCAGTCAGGCTTCTGTCCTCATTGTCCTTCTAAAATTGTCCTCTAGTCTAAAATCAGCAACAGTTCCTGCTAAATTCTGAGGGCACATATGGAAGTTACTGGACTTCTGAACTAATGAGGCACCACTAGTGACTCCCTCCATGAGAGCCTGCTCTTTTACCTTCCGTTGTAATGAGTCCTCCTGGCTTTCCGTGTCTTCTGTGGTTTTCTTCTTTCTTTGGGGCTTCTCTTTCTCCTCTTGCCCCTTACTTGTGGGTGTTCCCAGAGTCTGACCTCGCTCGTTGCTCTCCTGACTGAACACGGCCTTTGTGGGTGATTACTTCCCTTCTCGAGGCATAGATACTTATGACGCCTGCTTCTCTAGCTCTAAGCGCACCTACACCCCAGACTCCAAACTTGTCCACTGACCTTCTGGGTATCCATTCCTGAATGCATACCTCCTCCTCAACATGACTCAGACTCCCAAACTTGTTCTGCCTCCCATATTGCCTTGTCAATCACCAGCTATTCAGTGACCCAGCCTAGACCTAGAGCGCGTCCATGGTGCCTCCTTCTCACTTACTCACACTCCCGTAACCAGCTGGGCATCACGTTTTGTCAGTTCTGTTTCCTAAACCTCAGATTGTTTTGATTTTCCATTCCTGTTCAAGGCCTCAGTGTGTCTCATCTGGACTCCCGTATGGGTCTCTGAACTTCTAGGTTTGTAACACTAAAAGCAGTAGTAAGAGCTACCATTTATTGAACATTTACTGTGTTCCAGTGCTTTACAATCGTCTCACTTTCCATCTTACAGTCGACAAGAACGGGGGCTGAGAAGGGTTCATATCATGCTGAGGTTCACACAGCTCATGAGCTGTGGAGCCAGGAGTTGCACCTATGGCTGTGTGTCTCCAAGTCCATGCTTCTTCCCACAGCCCTCAAGGGATTATTTAGTTAAAAGGATAATTCGGAGCATACCACTTCCCTTCTTAAAACTCTTCATGGGTTTAAACTTCTTCATGATGTGGGCCCTGCCCACCTGCCAGCCTTACCTGTATCCATTTCCTGCCTCCCACTCCATGCCTCAGTAACCCTACCCTTCTGTGTCCCCCCATGTGCCGTGATACTGTTTCCTGCCTCTGGTCTGTGCCAGGCGTTGCGCTCTGCCGAGAATGAACAGCCCACACTTGCAGCTGACAACTGTTCACTGCTCTTCCTCCAATAAACTCCCCTACCACCAATTGGCTGGATTAGCTACTGTTCCTCACTTTTTCTGTAATACGCTACATCTCTCTCTCTGATACTCTGCACAGTGTATTGTGTATGTCACTGTATCTGTATCCCCCTCCAGCAGCACTGAGTTTTTTGAGGATGAGAACTGTTTTCTTCCTGATTTCTGTATCCCAACACCTCCTAGTGGGAACTCAGTGAACATTTGATCACAATCTTACCAAATTCTGGTGAAAATTTCCAAAACTTACTTCAAAGTGTTTTCAGTTCTTTAAAAAAATTAATGAGAATAATAAAAAATAGGCTTGTTTCTAGCATTAGCCTAAAGGCAGTGCTTTATTTTTTCCTCATACAACTTATTTTTGGAATGATGGTTTATTTTCCTGTGGCTTTCTAAAAGTTTTCACTGTAACAACTTGGACTTTTAGAAACTTGTAATGGAGCCTTGAGATGTCTTTAGTTTACATACTGTTGATGGAAAGTCTGGACTTCAGTCAGACCTGGGTTGTTTACTAGCTGTGCGACTTCTAGGAAGTAATTTAACCTTTGTGTACCTTCATTTCTTCATCAATAAAAGGAGGCTAATAATATATACCTCATAGGGGTGTTGTGAAATGAAATGGGACAGTGCATGAAAAACAGCACAATGCCTGAAACAGTGGATGTGGAAAATTGCCCAATGAAATGGTAGCTGTTACTAACTAAAGCAATGTAATGTTATAGAATGTTAAAAGTTTTATTTTGTCCCTAATGTAATGTTTAATATTTAGATTTATATAAATGTAACTCTTACATATTCTCATTTTTCCTAAGTTACCATTTCAGTGTAATTTAGGGCCATTTATTCTTAAGATGGGCTGGAATTGCTTCTTGTTGATGGTTGTAACAATGCAACTTGGAAAAATAGACTCCAGAAACAATAAACTAAAATTCCACGTAAGAGGTTCTTTTCTGTGAGGAAGTCAAGCCTTCTCTCCTTGCCAATAGGTTCTGTGCCCCAGCTTCTTCAAAGTAGGGTGTCTCGATAATTGATAATCCAGGGACAGGACTTCTCAAATGCTGTGGTTGCAGCCCTCCTCAACCTAAAATTTGTAGTGTTTTATTTTTATGCAATAGGTTTCTTTTTGGAAATGGGAAATTTTTTTAGAAACCCAC